GTCTCGGACTCCTGAGCTCAAGGGATCCTCCTACCTCAGCCTTCCAGAGTGCTGGAATTATGGGGCCTTTTAGAACCACCACCTCCTTTTCTCAGTTTAGCATAGGGATAATAAGAGGGCTAGAAACTAGAACTCCTTCCAAACTTGAGAAAGCCACAAATTAAAAGAGTGGGTTTGGGAACCAGGTGGATTGATCCTAGTATGATCAATTTAGTATTTGTTTGATTTAGAGCAATGTTCTTAATTTTTAGTAGTTTCCTCTCTGGAAAATATAGAAAATAATATCCCACTCACAGGTTTGTGAGAGGAGTAAATGAGAAAATGCACAGAAGGTTGTCATTAAATGGAGCTATTTTTATTTGTTAGAAAATGAGATGATTGTACTGGATGGGTTTTTGAGGTCTTCCCTATTATTAAAATATGATTTTTAGAATATTTAACCATCTATTTAGTGGAAATTCTACATGTGAAGACTTTAAGCCAGTCTTGAGATGTATGGGACCCCCATTCATAGAATTTATTTTTCTCTACAACAACACAGGCTATCATGAAGACAACTCAACCTACCATATGTGAACAAATGTTTCCAGCCAGGCAGGGTGGTCATGCCTATAATGCAGGCACCCTGGGAGGACAAAGTGGGAAGATTGTGAAAGGCCATGACCTCTAGACCAACTTAGACAACATAGCAAGACTCTGTTTCCACAAAAAATATACATATTAGCCAAACGAGATGGAGCATGCCTATAGTATCAGCTACTCAGGAGGCTAAAGCAAGAGGATTGCTTGAGCCCAGGAGTTTGAGTATGGTGATGCCATTGTACTCCCCCTTGGGTAACATAACAATACCCTGTCTCAAACAGACAGACCGTATTAATGTTCCCAGAATTGTAAATACTAAGTGTGCTCATTTACGAAGGCTCTTTAAAAAGGAATTGTGGGGTCAACCTTTTTAGAATAATTGATAAATTTATGTTAAGAAAAAAAAATTTTAACAAATCTATAATCTAACATGAATTGAGCTGTTTCTGACTAATGTTTTCTCAATGCAGTACTAAAATTGAATTATTTGAGAAAATACTCTATTTTCTGGTAGATGAATTAAGAACTCTAAGACAATCACCTCACTTCTGAAGAGTAATTTGAGAGCTAATAATTCTTTTGCATTCTAGTATACATAGCATATTTCCTTCTCAGAAGTTCACACACATTAGCTCATCGTAACCACGGTGTTCGTAGAAGCACGTCAGGAATGAAGCCTGTCCACACAATCAGTCCACTACATGTTCTTTGGGAAAAAAGATTACCTCTTCTAACACAAGAAGCTGACTGAAATTTTCACTTACTTCTGCCCTAGGTTAAATTCATGAGTGTTTTCCTGATGGTAAGAGTGAATTTAAGATACATTACATTCATTTAAAAAAAAAATACAAAAAAATCTAAAAAGTGACTAATATGAAACCTTATATGTTGAAAACGTCTAACAAGTCTCTATCCCATGTCTTTGATAAGATAGAAAGACGGGAAATCACACAAACTGTGATAAGCCTGGGACAATCTCCCAGCTACGAAGCATCATCATATAACTCATTGTCCATGACTCAAAGGAGCTTGTGCTCTGTTTGGGGGAGCCAGCCACAAAAAGCTATGAGTCTATGTGTTTAAGCCACTGTGCTGTGATAGAAGCACATACAATCCAGACGACAGGGTGGGAGAGTGGAAGTATAGAACTGTCAGTTCTGCAAGACTGTCAGACAAGCACTGTTAGCTAGAACTCGGTATTAAAAAGTTGCATCATTTAATAAATAAATAAATAAAAAGTTGC